CCAAGTCACACTAACCAAGTCACACCAACCAAGTCACACCAACCAAGTCAACTGATCAAATGATATGGTCTTATACCTGATGCCAGTATATTGCCGTCTCTGCAGAAGCACAGCGAGTAAACAGTGTCTTTATGTCCCTTGAGTTCTGTGGTTAAGGTGCCTTCAGCCAGGTCCCACACTAAGATGCGTTTGTCAACACCTGTTATAATGAAACACAAGCGTTACTGTACAAATACACGCATTACAAAACAGATTGCGACTGAGACGTCAATCAAAACATTTCCATGACATTCCATGGGCACTTGCCCTTAAGAACTGCGTGTTTTCCGACAATGTCATGGAAACAATTTGATTGACATCCCCCAAAAACCTATATTATCGCGACAGAAAATTGAAGGATTTCCCGCGTGGTATTGAGAACGATTGTAATTCAACAGTGTTTTCAAAGTAATATAGCATGTCACTAACAGGACGTGCAGAATACTTCTCGAAGTTTCTTCTTTTTAGGCCACTTTTTCTAATTTCCTCAGAAAGTATTACCCCGGGCAATAGAGGATCTAATTCGGGTAGGTTTAGTTTGGAGCGCGCAAGAAGCAGCGCACGGAAAAGAGAGACTAAATAACTTCTCCACTCTGGGGTAAGCAAGTAGACTCTGTAACTCCAGCGCCAGATTTATGGCAATACGAAGGAGAGGGAACCTCGTTCAGAACCGCCAAATGAAATCGTCCGCAAGTTTAAAAACCGATTTGAGAAACTCACCAGAGGAAACAAGATACCTGCCACTCCTAGAGAATGCCAGTGCATGAATTGGTCCCTGGTTATGAAGAAAATAGATGGAAAGAAAATAAAATAAAAGGAATAAGAAAGAGTATGAATTTGTCATCTTACGTTGTGCCCGGTAAAATATAGCCGCTACGCTGGCTAGGTAAAATACCGTACGAGGTACCCGTCTGAATGTCCCATAGTCAAACCACCCTAGAGTACCGGGGACATGTAATACTGGGGTGTGTGATCTTACCTTATGCCCGGTAAAAAGCCGTACTGAGGTGCCTGTCTGAATGTCCCACAGTCGTACGGTACGATCACTTGATCCAGAAGCCAGGTAGTTACAGTTGGGATGGAAAGCAACTTTCTGCAAATTCAAGGTCATTTGTTCTACATTTATTTTTCTGGCGAATATTTCAGCCGGGTTTCATTGCTTTATCGTGGCAGGATGTATGGGAAAATAATCTTGAGTTGGAAGGTTAGGAGATATTGGGTGGGGAATCTACGTCCTGAATTAATAATAAATTGTTTTTAGGAATTGGAAAAGGGAGAGAACACAAAATTGCTGTTTTTTACTTGACGTCATTTCCTGTCTCGTTTCTGTTTGACGGAACATACTGTAGCCTGCAAAGTAGGCGTTCTTGTGGGTTTGGGGAAAAACCGGGGCTTTGGGGGAACTTTGGAACGAGCGAGAATTGAAACCGAGCAAAAAAGCACGTTCCCTTTTTTTGGTAGGTCCCATTTTTCTCGCGGGCCCTTGGTCGAAACAGGAACCCCAAAACCCCGATTCTTCCTCAAACCCATCAAAAGAACTACACATGCTGCTCAGTGTTTGACTACAGTTTGGATCAAAAAAATGTGATTCACAGTACTTTATGAGCTGATCGAAACCCAGAAATTCCGAATGAAACCCACCACTTGTTCTTTAGAGAGCTAGGAGGGCATTCCCAGTATCGACCAATAAGAGGCCGGCAAGACAAGTACTTACATTGACATCAGACACGTGACCAGAGAATATTCTAAGTGGCTGTTGATGGTCAGTTGACCAAAGTCTAATCGTTCTGTCATGTGATGACGATGCGAAGTAATGGCCGCGTGGACTGGAAAGAAAAAACAAATGGGCCATTAATTTAAGAAGAGTTAATCTTGCCAGCGCGTCCTGCGGGGATACCAGGAAACACAGTGTAGCTCCTAATTGGTGGCTACTTTCCGTAGTAAAATACGTGACAAGATCAAATCCGATCCCAAAACCGTTTGTTAGAGCCACATTTATCGACGTCACTCCCCCCCCCCCCCCCCCCCCACCTATTATAATTGTCAAAGGAGGGTTGGAATTCGAGAAAGAGAGAAGTCTATTTCCAATACTCCTCCAGCTACTCAACAAAATACTAAGTTTTGGACACAGATTACCCTTTATATGGATGAATAACACTTGGTTTAAGCCTACGTTTCACTTGCGAAGAAGTCGGATCGGAGTCGTAATCAGTTCATGCATGAAATTGCAAGTGAAAACTGATGTGCTAATGGCGAGCTCCGATTCCTACTCCGTTTCCTGATTTTTACTTTGTTATAACCTGCTTTCAACTCCGACGCAAGTGAAAACCAAGCTCTAGGCAGCTCAACGGATATGGGCCTCCTGTGTTTTTTCTGAACACACCCTATTCTACTCAACCTATCCATCGCACTCAAATAATAAAATATAGACTCACCAAAACTGCACATCCCAGACAGGATAGTTATGTCCCTTGTAGCAGACCAGCGTAGTGAATGTATAAAGACTCCATAGTCTAATGGTCTTGTCCTCGGAACACGACAGAAGATACATATTGTCATGGACGATACTGACAGCGAATACAGGTCCAGAGTGACCAACCAGTCGACGACAGTCTGTAGCTGTTCTGAATATGGGAGATTACGATATTCATATTTTTAAAATATTTCGTTTATAGAGGATAACACTTGAAAGTAACTCAAATGATCAACTCGAGATCTTTTAACGTCTCTACTTGATTAGTTGATTACAAAATGCGATCATGGAACGAAGGCCGCAGTTCTGCCGTTAGCCACTGGCTGTTAAGTGCTACCCTTGTAAAACAGGGACGATTAGGGATGGGGCAGCTATTAACGTGTTCATCCGAGCCACGTGAAGGTGTAACCATTTGTAATTACAAAGGTAGCACCTTCTCCTCAGTTACCGGGAGTCGGTATAGTGAGATGGTAAAGTGCATTAGGACAAAAAGCAGATAATCTCCTAATACATGTGTGCGTAGTACAGCGCATAAATATCTGCGTTTAAGGTCTACTTTCTTTGTACTCCATATCATTGACTTACTTGTCATCCATTATTCTTTCCATCACATCCTCTGGAAAAAATATCAAAAAATGAACATCACGTATAATAACATTAAAAGAGAGAAAGACTTATAAATGAAACGAGTTCGTCTAGACATAAAATAAATTGGTGTGATGGGGAGGGGGACTTACTTTAATACCTCCAATGCCATTCTTTAATTCTTTACTATTTTTCCTTCTCGCCTACTTGCTTAACTATCTTCATCTTTCCCTCCCTCACTCATTAACAGTGGGTTTCTTGTATGTCTCTAATCCTCTTTTTCATATTAACGAGTCTCTTTTTTCACAACAAGTTTTGATTCACAGCTTAATTTCAAGGGTTAACTTTATTTTTTTCTCCCCTGTAAGCCCACCCTTGATTCCTCCTTTTAACCCCCCCCCCCCCCCCCTCGCTTCTCTAACGTTCCTTCAACTCTTCCATCACTTTCTTCACCTCCACCATCTTGTACCATTACCCTGGGTTCTAGAATCTCTCTCACTCCAGTACTTCGCTATCATAGGTCAATTTGATTATCGCGACTACAGAACCCGAGGTACTGTCCTCCTTGGTTGACTACCAGCAGTGAATGTACCATAAACCCTATACTCACCAGCTTCTTTATCAATCTTGTTCAGTTCTGAGGGTGGTTTTAGGCTTCTTAACTTTCTTGGAGTCAAACTCCAAACCCTGATTATACTGTCTTCAAACCCAGCACTCAGCAATGTTGCATCCTCGGAAATACTTGCACAGATCRTTCTGTAATTTGAACATCACTTTATCAAATTATGAATTATTCCTACCATTATTCTTGAAGTGAGCTCTTGAGGGAAATCTTAGACTGAATTTAAGATTTTTATCCTCTAATCTTCTAAAATCTTTAATTCAGTCCTAAATCTCCCCCCCCCCCCCCTCCTTCCCAATAAAGCAGTTCTTTGGTTGACTTTTGTAGAATAGCTAGTTGGCAAACGAGACATCAAACTTTGAGGGTCACACTTCAACAATAATGGTAGTAATGAGAAATCACAGTAGAAATCAGTCACTCAGGAGAAATCTGTAAATCAGATGCAGAGTCGCCTTCATTTGCATTTAACTTTAACATGGATTTTCTTGGCCAAAGTCACACACTCTAAAATCTAAGTGGAATATGAAGTTATAATTCTAGACAATTTATTTTTTCAGTCTGATTTGTATTGGGCTTTGCAACGGCTTGCCTTGTAGTGACCACTGTAAATGCCCATACAGATCGACCACTCATATCGTATAATACCTGGTGTATTGCATACCACTACTGTACCATCATCTTTTAAAGGAAATGTTTATGTTTATCTTACCCTTCATGTGAATTTAACTGGGTGTAGAAACAGATGGAAGGTAAGGTTTCTGCATCAAGTTTGAGTCTTTTGGCCTTTTCTCTCAGAACCTGTGCTTTTCTCAGTTTATCACTGTCTCTCCTGCAACAAGATCATTCAACATTCCCATCACCCTCAGTTTTATACGTGGCTAAAAAAGGAATGGCCATTGATTAGCGTGTTTCCATCCAGTTTTGGGTGCATTTGGGAGGATGCTGAGCACTACGGAAGTGTACATGTAAGAGTTGCATGAGGCATAGYCAAGTGCAATTCTAGATTTTTGAGTGCTTAATCAACCAAAAAGGGTACAATGTACCTAAAACCATGTTCGCGCCTTGTTCAGTTTATGCTGTGTTCCAGGAATTTGATAGGATGGAGAGTAAATTTTCATACAATGTGATTGGTCTGGAGTATGCCTTGCCGTGTCAAAATCGTGTTCATGCCGTGAGCTTTTCACAGTCGTACAAAAACTGTAAGTCTGCACACAGCTTCCTTAACATTGAAGGTATAACTAGCCAAAAACTAGTGTGAGCTGCGTCGGTGCTTCTAATGAAACAGTAATGATGAAAAGGTAAATTATACACTGTGAAAAGATGAAAAAACTTACTGACGTTTCAGACGCTAGTCCTTCGTCGGAGTAAAAGAGAAAGAGGTGGTAGAAAGGAGTGTATATATGATATACCTTGTTCTCATTGGTTTCTTTTGCCTTATTCTATCATATATACACTCCTTTCTACCACCTCTTTCTCTTTTACTTTTTTTCATCTTTTCATGGTGTATAATTTACCTTTTCATCATTACTGTTAACATTGAAGGCTTAAAATATTAAAATTGTTTATTCACAAGGGATTTTAATACTCACAACTCAGGGAATGGTATTCTGTTCAGAGGAGGTGCATTTGGATTGAATTCAAACTTTTTCCTTCCTAAAGTCACAACATGAGAAAAATGTTGTCAGTTTATTTAGCTGAATGAAAAATAATAATATATGCTACTTGAAAACATTTTCATATCATATTATTTGAATGTGCTCAATCAAATATTTTATCTGGGTTAAAACTAAATATTTCTGTCAATTAGTGTTTGGCACAATGACAAAGCTGCTATACTGCAAACACTACCAATAACCCTGAACCATGATGGGACCCCCCGTGCAGTGGGAAGGGAAAACCACTGACCAGTTGAACTTGGCTTTAACTTTGCCTCATATCTATAAATAATATTTAAGCTAGTTATTCCCTGTCTAGTGAGGAATATTCATCAGCTGAATAATAAGTTTTCAATAAAACACTTTTTTGGAGGTTTTTATCAGCAATAGAGCGTTTTCATGTGATGTCACAGCTGTCACTATGGGGTACCAAAACAATACATTTTCTATCCTCTGGGAATTGAACTCTATTTTTATGCAAATACTGTGCAGAAAGTTTTTATTGTTTATAGCTGTCTTCTCACGTGAGTGAAAATGCTCTATACATTGTAGCAGTTAGTTCCTGATGAGCCTTCTGTCTGCTGTCCAGGAATTTGATCAGAGACAAAAAATAATTATTTTCAATGAAGCAAAAAAAAAATTATTCAAAAAATTAATGTATTTGCATGCTTTTTGAAGCCTTACCTGTTCCATTTTCCTTTTTTGTCTTCTTTTTCTGTTGGAGTGAAGCAAACACAAGTTGAAAGCATAGGAAATGAAAAGAAAAAAAAGGAGTTACATGTAACACTGACGCAATTCTTACCATATCCATGGTATGTATTTTTTGGCTTATGAATCATTAACATAACTGTGCTGTACTAGTGACTAATAACCAACCCATTCTTTCCCAGAATACCTTGGGTTTATCTTTATCATCCTCTTCTTCATTTTCATCTTCTATTGTGATTCCAAAGTCTGGCTCAGGTTGAAGACCATACAGAACTTTGGTTTTGTTTGCTGTTGTCATGAAAATTATGATTAATGACAAGTAAACCGTCATGAAATTTGGTATAAGATTGTAGCTTGACAGAGGATTTTCAAGCACTTAATCGTATCCTTCAATACTCGATCCTTTCTACAGTTCCGTTTGGAACRGTGACCACAAATAAGGGCTCCAAGTCAAGGTTGCAGTCCTCACGCATGATAAACTATAGTTTTGCTATGCACGGCAACTCAAACCACGACTTGCAAATATTATTTATGATCACTTAACCGAACTGTAAAATGGATTATTAGGGCAACTAACATCATCCACTACAGAGAAATATATTGCAGATCTATGTATGGCATGTATGGAGTTCAAAGATTTAGTGTATTTTTTTCCTGTACTGGTTCAAATAATCCTCACCAGTAATCCTCTGACCTCATCCACAAAAATAAATAAAAAATTCTTGACATACTTGTACAAGAAGTGACAGATTTTGTGAGGTTGAAATTTTGTTAAATCTACAGCCTAACTCTTAGTGGTCAATATATATGTACATACCTTCAAATGTTGCTTCACCAGTAATTCCTCCTGATGTTGCATCAATTGATGACTTGTGCCGTGGCCTTCCATCAAAAACTGAAAGAAAATTTACCATTTTAAACTTAGAAACAGCTTTGCTTCTATTAATTATAATCAATAGTGTAACAGTAACAAATATTAAACCTGATATTAGCCCTTAGGGGAGGGATGCATAATAGATCTTACTTGAAAACATTATTTGGAGAGAATGGCACAGAACTTTATGTTGTAAGTTCAACATTTAGTTAGTTGCAAAACAAGTAAAAATTAATCATTGGTACCTACCATCAAAGTGTAGATGTTGTTGAATGACAGTTAACAGTGTTTCTTGTTGAGTATCCTAAAACAAATTCCAAAAATGACTAGTACAAGTATTATGAAATATCAATGTAAAGTTGCAATATATGTACTTTCCCTCACAGGGTTTGAGGAGGAAATAAATTTATAAATAAATACTTTCCAAGAACAATGGAGACAAAAAGAGCAGCGTACTTACTGTAGCTTTCCCACAATTTGCAGATACAATGTACCTACTAAATTTTAAAGTCTACGTCCCCCATCTTTTAGTCTTATATAATTTATTTATTATGTTAATTTTACAAAATCTAATCCCCCTGGAATTTTGAAGGTGGACCAGGGTCTTTGCTTTCTTTGAAAAAAGTGTTAAGGTGTATAAGTGTGGTTCTGAAATAAGTATCCTCAATACTTTGAAGAATATATGCATGGATCCTGCATTTAAATTAATCAAACAAGTGCTGCTGGAAGATTATGTGACTTACAGTACACTACAGTATAAATAAAACACAACAGCTTACCTGGAGGTATTTCTTCAGCACTTGGTAGGTATCTCTGGACATTCTTATTACAAATTTGTTGCTCCTGCATTCATTATAATATGCAGTATTACATATACAGTATAAGCACTATTATCGATGCCTGTAACTTTGACCAGAAAACCAGCACATGGCATTGAGTGTTGCCATGGCTAACATGTACAATGTTTCTTATATGCCACTATCATGTGATTACCTTAATCTTCAGGGCCCAGTTGTACAAAGGGTGGACCAATAGCACTATCCAACGCATAAATCTTATCCAGTATAAACTTATTGGATAACAGCATAGACTCATCCACTGGATAAAATTGATCTGTTGAACAGCTCTATTCACCCGTCGTACAACTGGATCCAGGGTAGTAATAAGAGTGGGGGTCCAAATCCCATTTTATGGAATAATAAAAATGGTCATTTTATTATATATTTTTTCAAAAAAAAGACAGTCAAGTCATGTTTCAAGCAATGATGAAAATGGCCATTTCACATATATCACATAAAAATTTAAAAAATAAAATCAAGTTTCAAGATTGAAATAACCCTCTTCCACCCTGAATGTTGCCATGGCTACCATCAAGTGATCACCTTAATGTTCCCATGAATTCATTTTTGTCCATGTGTTCTCTCCTAGTGATTGAGGATAACCGTCTTAGGTCTTCTTCATGGTAGTCTTCTTGGCATTCTCTGAACTTCGTGAAAAATGACTGGGCTAAAACACAACAAAAACAAACAAACTCTATTTCTTACTTTGCAGTTTACTTCAGTCATATAGTTTATTAATTTATATATCAAATAATCTTATTATAATGTCCTTCAGTTTGGCATAATTAAAGTGCCTATCACCCTTCTGACAATATTCACAGTATTGATTCTACATGGGGTAAGATGTGGAATAACCTGAAAAAATGTCATAGTTTGAGTGCGGCTTCTTGAAGGTATAAAGGTGTTTTCACGTCACATGCTAATGTTGTGCCGTATGAGGAGGCATTTATGGTTATTTGTTGTTCCTTGTAATTCAAAACACCGGCTTCTATGTGAAAACTAACTTGCCATAATTTCTATAAGATCAATGGGAAAAATAATGACGTATTCCAAATCTAATTTATCTCTGCCAGTAATGTTTTGTTAATAAATGATTACTCCTCATACATCACAGTATTAGCATATGGCATGGAAAAACCTTTATAACTTTAACAAGCCACACTCAAACTATATTAGTTTTTTTCCAGGTTATTCAACATCTTACCCCATGTAGAATCAATACTGTGAATATTGTCAGAAGGGTGATAGGCACTTTAATATAAGATATAATATTAATAATAATATAAATTATTCATAACAAAAAGATTGCCCAAGTACCCATATACTTTACATTTTATTTCAATAATATACAGTGTAGTTTACTGGTTTATGTATCAAATAATCTTCACATAATGTCCTTCAGTTTGGGATGCCATAAGATATATAATATTAATCATATCAATAATGATTAACCTAGGCTTACCATTTTTTTCATACCCTTTGTAGACAAGCTCTAAATACATATGAATGAATAATGGATACTGAACCATTGCTAATTCAGGCTGAAAGATAGAAAGGTAGAATACATATTTTGTTAGAATAAAATACTAATAAAAAATGTCAAGAAAATTACATGCTAGTAAAAGTATATAGTTGYAATGCATAATTATTACTAGACTTACTTTATAAACATCTAGTGATTTTTCGACAAACACTTGGAGACTAACATGGAAAGATAAAAATAAACACATTTTACTATACTACAGTATATAGAGATTATTACATGTTAAGAGCTTGATATGTAGAGGATATTACATGGGCGCGCAGAGATACGAAATTTATCTTCGAGTGTTGAAAAGATCTCTCACAAGTGAGCACAGCGAACGAGTGAGAGATTTTCAACACAAGAAGATAAATTTCGTATCTCCAAGCGCCCATGTAATATTCTGTTTATTATATTATTATCAATGAAGTATGTTTTGGCTTTTTCAAACAATTCTTTCCGTGTATATTTGAATAGCCATCGCAATGGTGTTATTTTCACACGTGAAAATAACATGTGAAGATAACAATTTTTCGAAATAGAGAAAAATAGATATTTCATTGGTAATTATATAATAAATCGTTTTTATTCATGAGTTTCTRTGTCATATAGCGAACGAGCAAGTCCACGATATGAGCGATATGATAATATGGAACAGTCTTCCATATAATAGTCCTACACAAATTTATAATTTATACTACGCTTCTTGATAAGCATTAAAATCATATTTGCATTTGATTTGTATAGGCTTTACAATAGCTCGCCTAGCTCACAGCTGTTGGATCTAGGAAACAGCAGATGTACTTGTCATAACACTTAAAGTAGGAAAAGAGAATTGATTTTAAATATACAGTTATGTAGTAGATTAGCCAAAAAGTGGGAAGGCCAAAGCCCTTTGTCCCCCCCCCCCCCCCCCCCCCCCCCCCCCCCTTCCCCCCCCCCCCTCCCCCCATCTCCCTGTGGTCTCTGCTCATAATCCAGATCCATATCAGGGCCATATAAAGTTAACAGCTGGTCATCAGTCACCGATTATGATGATAGTCAAAATTAGTTTTAGTTTAGCGATGTACATTACCTCGTTTCTGCCTCAACGTTACCTGAAAAATGAATGGCAAGGCAAAGCTTTGACGGGAAAAGTTCCAACTCTGGCCAGACATTGTCTGATGACCAACCATTATTTTTAACCCTGTCATATACTGTATATTACTTAATTTTTTAATAGATATAATACAGTAATTTAATAATAGCTTAATAATACCTAGTGTAGTATTCGTCATATCTTGATGGATCTGCTTCACTATGGACAATATTTGAGATAGTAAGTATATTAATACTTAACAATTATTCACCAAAGGAGAAGTGAATATCAGGGAATATTTACTGGGATGCGAGTCTTCAAGCAGCGGGGTGAATATTTCCCGATATTTACTGAGCCTGAGGCAAATAATAGTTTTAGCATTTTTAACACAAGTGAACTTAATAAATAACAAAGAGAGAGTTTTTTGTTTTTTCAAATTTTATCTATCTCTGCAAGAGGCAGAAATTGACAAGCGAGCGTGTGCATGCGCAATTCATATTCACCTGTAGTAGAATGTAGCAGCACAAGACGYAAATCGTGGCCAATGAGTGTGCCGAATTTATTATATTCACTTATGTAAAAATACTCAATGCATTTAGTCCATGTCATACGAAAGTCAATCTACAAAACCAGCTACATAAATGATCAAATGACATGGTATCTCTTTCTTTCATTCAAGTGTACAGTAAAAATACTATAATTGAAGTCAGGATTCATAATAATACTGCAACTGTTTGTCTTATAAGTCAGATATTAGTGTCAGTAGTGTATAGTACTTAATATATTTTGTCAAGAGCACTACGGTCTGATATAGGATAATTACCTGTTATACGCCGATAAAACAGAGGATATGTCTGTATCAATATCAGACGATGTTTCTAGGTTCAATTCACTGTCATTTCCCACACAATTCGTCTCTTGACGAAAGATTTTCTCTGTTTCCTGAAACAAATGAAAACAAAACAAAAGGTAATGCCCTTCTTATAATCAGAAATTTTACTATGAATTTATCACTGATCACATAAAAAATAATGTCAGCTTACAGTTAGTTTCTTATTTTTTAGAAACTGCAGAACAGCTCGTAGTGTTTCTTTCTCTTTGTCGGTTGAGCTGGGTTTAGAGTTTGATGTTGTTGAAGTCGTCGTGTTGGACGCCATGTTGAATTCCCTCTTCCAGGGAGACTGGCACTAAAAATCTTCCCAGTTTGCTTTGCGGACAGGGCTATATAAAATTTTCATTTCATCGAAATGTCGCTAAATATTCGCAAAATTTGTACAACAGCTTTTATCTATTATATTAAAACTATTTCCTTAATCATTAGTTAGTTTGCTTGCATCTGCTGGTCATATGAAAGTCAAAGTGTTTGGGCGGGGTTCCTGTGGTAAACGATGCAAGTTAAAAAAAGACTTGAGCCGAACTTATTTTTAACAGGCGCGCGGAACTCATCAAGTGTTGATTTGCTCTATGATTTGATGCTTGGTCTTTTGCCAGAAAAGAAGCTTAAAAATCACTGATCTTTCTAATAGGAAGGCAAGTATTTTTCATTTTATTAACTAGATCAATAGTAGTTCACTCATTCTATCAGGGCTGTCAACTCTCCCGGATAAACCGGGAGTCTCCAGATTTTGGGCCGTATCTCCCGGTCTCCAGATAAGAGTCTCAAATCTCCCGGATAATTCCCGAAGCTGACCATTTTTTCTTGTGAGACCCGAGTTTCACAACCATAAAATTCCAATTATCTTACGTTGTTTGTGTTATTTTACATCGCTAACAAAATCAAAACGTTCCTCATGGCTGTTCTTGCAAGCAGGCCATTGTAATGTAAGCGATAATCTGATTGGTCAGAAATAAACCAATCACATCAAATGTTAAAAACCGAAAGGCGTCTTTTCGCGCGCTTTTTGACGCGCTGTGACGTCATGACCCTTCCCTATCAATTCTCCAGATTTGAATATCTCGGGGGTTGACAGCCCTGTTCTATGAACCATGAAATTCTTGACGGAAAGGAATCGAATCTGCTATGATGAGTTTTTATATGCTTCTGTGATTCAGTGACGTTCAACCAGTTAATTTTTGTTTGTAGAAGTGTTCCCAAACCATTATTTCAACTCTTTGAAAGACCATTATTTACTAGATTTCACTCAAAGTAGGAAAATGACGAAAGTTTATTGGTTTTATCTTCGTCTCGGCCGATTATTAGTGTCTTGGAATATTCGATATCTCCTGGAATGCAAGTCTTGCACATCCGGTTTCAGATTAGTGACTGGCACCAAGTGTAGCCTGCACAGCATTGGGCGTTCTTGTGGGTTTGGGGAAAACAGGGGGGTTTTGGAGGACTTTGGCAATTTGGAACGAGGTCCCATTTTTCTTACGGGCAGGTAGTTGAAACATGAACCCCAAAATCCCGATTCTTCCGCGAACCCACAAGAACGCCTGCTCTGCAGGTTACACCAAGTGACATTGCACAGATTAGTGGCACACCACCCGAAATGACACCAACCAATATTCTAGAGTATTGGGGTGCTGTGCAATACCAAGCTTCCGAGACAGAAACTAAAATCGGTCCCGTAGTTATGATATTTTAGGAGCAGTCGTTGCTGAGTTTTACTCATGGTGCAAAGCCATCAAAGCTAGAGATCCACGGTTCCGGAATGCTCAGGATCTCCACGTCGTTTCGACTTCTCTTTCGACTTCTCGATATCTGCTTGAGGATCATCAAAGAACTGGAGAGAACCCTGCAAGAGTATGCGACGACTTGTTCTGATCTGGTTCAGAAGGTTTATAAAAAGGTTTTTATGAACATTAATGATGGTCTTATTAGTGAAACTAGCAACGCAAAAGAGCACATAAGAAGACACGAGCTGCAAAAGAGGAAACTGCAAAATGCACTGACCAAAGCTGCCATAAAGAGAAGAACGCGTTTCTTTGATCTCGGTGCTGCTTATGATTCCCGCTTGGAATTCGAGTTTTCATGCAAACACTACTGCATAGAAGAAATCCAACAGACAGAGCAGTGGAATGATGGTAATAGCTACAGTATCGTAAAGGACCTATTACATAAATTATATGACTTACATCAAAATAACGAAGTAGCAAGGAAGGCAAAATCAAAGAAGAAGGCTATTAAACGGAAGACAAAATCCCAGTAAATACTAATCGTAAGTATAATCTCCCAGACGCCAAACGAAACAACTGTAAATTCCATTGAGAGGCTCGAACGCACGACCTACATCACAGAGTTGTCTAGAAATGTCACACTTAGCGCTGAACTATTGTACGTTATGAGTAACACGGTGTTTATCCAGTGATCCAAGTGGGATTTATAAAAAGGTTTTTGTGGAGGGACGGCGGAGAGCTGCGCTGAAGTCTATCGTTTTTGCTGCGTTCGTTAATTTGATTGACTAATACATATAGCAAGGGTGGATCCGGGGGGGGGGGG